TGCTGCAGCTTGGGGTTCTTGTAGTGGAAGACGCTGAAGCTGAGTGGCTCCTTGGGGATCACCTCCACGAGCATGAGGTTGCCGCACTGGAGCAGAGAGCACGGAGGTGAGGCCACTGGGGAGAGGGAACAAGCAGCCCCCCGGCCCTGGCCCCCATGTGACTGGTGTTCACACCTACCAGGATGTGAGCTTTGTATGTAAACGTGTCATCCCTCTTCTTGGTGATGAGAAGCAGCTTGTCAAGGAGGAAGAGCGTCCGCTCGTTCTTGGCCCGCTGGAGACGGAAGGTTCCCTCCAGCACCAGTTCCCCGTAGCTGGTCAGGTCTGGCCCCTTCCAGTTTGTGAGCAAACTCTGAATCTCCTGGTAAATATAGAAATTGGTAGCACGATTGACATTTCTTTAGGATTTGTTGTCCATTAATATTGCTTAAGGAAGATGATGTCATTATTTTGAAAAATGAAAATGTTCACAAGTACCACTTAATGAAGGAAGCCACAAGATAATGAAAGACTTCATTGGTTGAAAACAGAAAGCTCTGTGGTACAGTGCTTGCCTAGCATGTGCAAGGTCCTGGGTTTGATAACCCATGCCATAGGCAAAAGGAAGGAAGGAAAGAAAGAAGGAAGGAAGGAACTAGAAATGGTGATAAGTTTGACCAGAATCTAATTTAGCACTGTCTTCAGAATGCCAACAAAGGTTTGCCTGATGCCTGCAATACACTTGAATGACTAAGCATTAAACTTTCTGCTACTACTGCAAAAAACAGATATGGCATGAAAGAGTAGGATGCTGCCCCTCTCTGATTTTTGACTCTATGGCATGATATCATATACTCTCCTGCCCACCTGCCTAGAGTTTTTTCTGACTTATGAGCCAAATGATGCATCGTGTCCCTGCATAGTGTAGAGTCAACTCTGGGCTTTTTTGTTTTACTCTAGGGACACCCAAGAAGTTGGAACTGGATTTTGGGCCTATATGTTTTGTTTTTGTTTTTAATTAGCTTTTAAAAAGGGCTATTTTTTTGAGATTTCTAGGATAATTGGCACAGCATCTATTAAAAATTCCTGAGTGTTTTAGGGATCAAAATGTTGGTGCTAGATGGGACCTTAGCAAACTTCTCATTTAACTGTCTCATTTTAACGATGAGGAAACTAAAACGATGTGCTTGAGAACCATCTCATGGTTTTGCAGGAGTGAGTGAGAAAGAATAGAAGCTTAAAAGGTCTAGGTACTTTGCTTTTAACAAAAATTACTAATTTATAATTTTATTACTTAACATAAGGTAAGGCCTTGGGAGATGAAAGTTTTTAGCTTGGGTCTTCAAAGGGCTATAAGCAAGTTATTAGCTAAATTACATAACAACTTTGTCTTAAATAGCTACTCTAAACAATGGTCATTATTATTGGTGCCCTGATCTTTCTTCAGGGAGAATTATGATGAGGACCATAAATAAAGTATGATATTTGTGCAATCTTAATATTGGATTTGATTTTGGAAATGATACATATCCGTGTCCCTGCAGCCCTGCTGGGTACTGACACCTTGCTGTGGGCTCACCTGTAACCGGACTGCATGTTCGTGTTTCCGCTTCATGTCATTGATGTGCCAGGCCACTCGCTGCATAGTGTCTATAGCATCAAGCACCACATCGTAGCCATCTGTGTCCTTGTCAAGGTGATTTTCTATTTCCTTTAAAAACACACACACACACACACACAAAAATAACTACTTGTTTTCCATTTTTTTTCATATAGGAAGTAATGAATAACATCTCCATAACTAGTTCCTTATATTTTATTTGTGCTTATTTATTTGCCTACTACTATCATTCCTTAAGATTTTGAGGTTCTTACCAGGAACACCTGCCACAAAATGATAAGATGGAAATAAAAAATAGGTCTAAGAATAATACAAGAGTATTAGAATTCCAGGAAAGGCTATAACACACAGTAAGTCTCAAAGAGATATGACAGTTATAATAGATATGAGAATTGATCTTATAGCTGAGAGTTCTGAGCTTCTTGGTGACCAAGGTAATATCGCTCTCAGTGATACAGTTCTCACTCTTACAAGATCAAAATACATATCTTTTTTTTCTTTTATAGAGGAAACAAAATGTCTCACAAAGACCTCAAAGTGTCACAGACTCAAAAATTTCGTAGACAATATCTTAAAAAAAACCAACCAAACAAACAAAAAAACCTCCGTAGGGGCCAGAAGGTGCAACTCAGTGGTAGAACAGGTGTTTAACATTCAGAAGGCCCTAGGTGAAGATCCCTGGCACCAAAACCAAACATGCAAATAGAAACCTCTACAGCAAGCACATTTTCATGCAGACATGAGGTCTTAGAACCTCAATGAGGTTCACTGAAGACAGTCTTTTGGAGTGTCAAGGAAGTTCACAGGAATCATGCACTAACTTGTCTGATGGTTTCAGCAGGTTATGTTAGCACCCATGTTAGCATGGAGTTCCACAGCCCCAGGGAAGGGAGAGAGGGACACAATCTCTGTTCTAATTCCTTTTCTTTTCTTTCTTTTTTCCTTTATTTATTTATTTATTTATTTATTTATTCATTTATTTGGTACTGGAAGGTGAAAGCAGGAGCATTCTGCTTCTGAGCTAGCTGTATCCCCAGGAATTTTTAAAATTTTCATGTTGAGGCAAGGTCTTGCTAAATTTCCCAAGCTATACCAAGTACTGAAGAAGAAAAATTGTTCAGACTAACCTGGAAATTGCAACCCTCCTGCCTCAGACTCCCCAGTAGCTAGGATTATAGGCATGCACAGCACTGTGCCCCGCAACCTCTGTTCTAATTCTTTAGAGGATATTAGACTCCTGTACCTCGATCCCTTAGGAGTCAAAGACTATTCTTTTTATCTTCTCCATAATACCTAACAGACAGGTGGTCAATAGATGTTTTTCTTTTCTTCTGGTGCTGGGGATGGAACCCAGGACCTCCATAATGCTAGGCAAGTACTCTATCACTAAGCTACACTCTCAGCCCCAATAAATGCTTATTAAGGTAAAACTATATTTTCTTAAAAACAACAATAACTCTAATCTCTCTATGTATATATGTAAATAAATTGCATCTATATAGAATATGAACAGACTGCTTTTCCTTATTATTATTCCTTAAACAATATGTTGTAATAACTGCTTTAGGTATTATAAACTATCTAGAGATGAGTTAAAGTATAGGGGAGGTTACACATGCATTGAATAATACACAAGCCTACATAATTTTATATAAGGGACTTGAGCATCTGCGGCTTTGGTATCCTTGAAATCAATCCCCTGCAGATACCAAGAGACAATCACATCTACAGTAAGAAACTGTGCCTTAGATCATTTCTATGACATTTATTGTGCAAACTCAGTTAAATGGAAGAGGCTGAATCTTATGGCATAATTTCTGCAAATTAATTCCCATTATTTTACAGTGACACTTTGTAAATATTAGTTTACTTTTACTGGGTATGCAAATTTTTCATGTAGTTAAAAACTGGAAAGGAATTTACATTTTTATCCCCATACTCAGCCTCATGGGGTTTGAAGGTCCTATGAAACCATACCACTAGTCTAGGTGAGTTACAGATTAGTAGCAAACTAAGAAATAATCATTTCTTCTTGAAGTTCGAGAGGCAATCCTGCCCAACAATGATCAGGCTGAGAGGAGCAGAGGATCCTGCTCCGAGATATTCATGGTTCCCTGTAAAGCTTAAGACGATGTGAGTGACACAAGGAACATCTAAGCCACCTATAGAAGCAACACATCTCGAGGCCGACCTGGAGCTAGTGTTGGATTTATCCACTCACTGTTCTTCCCTTTTCTTTATTATTAGCCCAATACAGAGAGTGAGGCTGTTCTCCCCACCAATGCACTTTCTCTAAGGATCCTGACTTGCCATCTCTCAGGCTGGTTCTAAGAACTTCACTTTCTTTTGCAGGTTGGTCACCTTCCTGTCTAGAAGACCACAATAAGTCTTAGCTGTGATATTAACAGAGTTCAGCAGAGGTCTGTCTTGGGATAAGTATTATTTATTTAAGAATTATTTGGATGCTGATTTAGCAAACTTACTCCACTAAATCTAAAATGTCATTAGGACCAATTTAAAAATGAAATATCTCCAATGTGGCTAAATGGGATGCAAAATGTTCCATGGATGAGCTACCCAGGCAAGCAGGCAAAGCGAAGAAATTTCTGGTAATGTTGGACTGAAAAAGTTCTCTGGATTAAAATCCCTTTTAAGGGAAGATATTTAATATAGTGTGAAAGGAATAAACTACAAACACTGGCTTATTTTTATCGAGTGCCTTGAGCCTCAGGAAAGGTGGGCACCTTCTAGGCTTTGCAGGCAGGCTGGCTTGCCCCAGAGCCCTGCTCCTGACCTTCCTGCTCTACTTCTTGCCCGTGGTGCAGAGGTAAGCAAGCTCCACATCTAGAATGCAAATTCCTTCAATAAAACTTTTTTTTCCCCATTTTTATCAGCCTCCTTAGAGGCTAAGAAATGAGAATTTGAGAGCTGTGTCTATCTTTGATCGAAAGACTCTTTGAATTTTATAAAAGTAATGGAAAACACTATAAAAAGGGAGATATCTGGAAGTGAAGCCTCTCCCGCTCAGGGAGCCCTAACCTCCTGCACATTCTGCCCCC